CGCTGCCCTGTGGGACACCACGAGAACAAGAAACGGCAGGAGAGAGATGTCCTTGAACTCTGATCTGCTGGAAGCGGCCTGAGAGGTAATCAGCAAACCAAGTGAGTGGAGTACCAGATATGCCAAGAGAGAAGAGTTCAGTCAGAAGACGCTCGTGCTGAACGCGATCAAACGCTTTCGACATATCTACGAACACAACTCCGGTGTACTCTCGTCGAGATTTGGCTAGAGACCATCTGTTGACTGCGAGGGCAAGTGCATCCTCTGTGGAGTGTTGTTTACGATAGGCAAATTGGCTGGTGGGTAGAAGCTGGGCTGATTCGAGATAGGTGGTGAGCTGTTTCTTTACAAATGCCTCCAGAATACGGGAGATGATGGGTAGCAGGGAAACTGGGTGGTAGTTTGTAGGTGAGGTTGGGTCGCCACCCTTAAACAGAGGGGTGACATGTGAGGATTTGAAGGTGGAAGGAAGTTGGCCTGTTCTGAGCGAATAGTTGATAATTTTGGTGAGATTGGGTGCCAATATTGAGGAGAACTTGTGTAGAAGTAGGCCAGGCACACCATCACTGCCAGTCGCCTTACTTGGGTCCACAGAACTCAAGCAGGACTCGACGGCAGAAACTGCGACTGGCTGGAAAGCAGAGAAACCACATTGTTGGGTTGGTCCCAAGGGAGCTTGAAGAGTGGCGGGACGCGCTGGGTCATGTACGACACTACCAAATGTAACACTGAGATCCTGTAGGGATGCCTGAATGAGGTACTCGACTTCGTCCCGCACCTCCTTCCGTGCGTCCGGTGCCATCCTACGAGGTCTTGACCACTGGGGTGCTGTATCACTCTTGAGGTGGATTTCATGCTGGATGCCAGTTCTTGCCGTCGGTAGCTGAACGCCTTCCGCCAAAAACACATCGCCATACCCGTTGACCAGCTCCTGAATCTCCTGCTTCTTGCTGTCCTGTAGGCTTTCATCCAGCTTGAACCCCGTTACCTGCCGCCTCGGCTCATCACTCTTCGCCGGGTTCTGCAGCGACACTTCCAATTCAGCACGTGCTATTCCCACCACCTTTCCTTTGTGCAGTACTGCTTCACTGTTCCCTGCATTCACCATGCGTACCGTGGCCTCGAATGCCGTGGGACGCAGCAGACAGCACATTGCTCTGACTGTGTCGTTGTTGCTTGCCATGGTTGGCTCGAGGAGGTATTCTGCACTGGGCGTCCGACCGCTGAATGTGCATGGGATCAATGCCTCCTCGCCCGGTTTAACCTTGATCGTGTCCTGCACCATGACCCTACACACTCCTGTTGGCCGGTGTGCTCGGTCCAGAGGACGGGAGTTGCGATATACTGTTTCCAGTTTCAGGTGGTGTCCCTGCGTGATCAGCGTGCTGTTTGGCCAGTCCCAGGTTTGCTTTCCCAGCCGACTCAGGAAGTCTGCGCCCCCTATCATGGGCACCACCAGGTCTGTCACTACGTGAAACGGGTGGCTGGTGACAATGACCCTACCCATCCGAACCGTCATCCGTAGCACACCCTCCATCTTGACCACATTGCCGGACGCAGCTCTTGGGTTCTACTGTGATGTTGGCTGTATATGCTGCTTCTGGTGTTCGCTGAGGTGTGCCCTGCTGATTAAGCTGATGTCTGCACCCGTGTCCAGGAGCATGCTCACCTCTTGACCCCCCATCTGCGCACGCACAAAGGGACTCCGTCGCAATCCCTGCACGCACTGGGTCTTCGGCTCAGTCTGCAAATATTGCCCTCTGTTACCGCCGCCCTGCAGGCTGGGCCAGTGGGGCTTTACCGAAAACCCTTCTGGCTCGTACGCTGCTCGGCTTGTGCCCATGGCCTCCAGGTTGGTGACTCCCTCTTCCTCGACGGGCAGTCCCGCCAGCCTCCTCGGTGATTCTGTGACCCACAGTACCAGCATTTCCAATTGCCCAGTCCTGGTCGTCTCCCCGTCTGTGGAGTTCGAGTGGCATCTGTGCGCAGTGCAGCGACTTGTTCTCTCAACTCTGTGACCTGGGTCCTTAGCTCATTCACCACAGGGTCTGTCTGCAGGATGTTTGCGCTCGGCTGTGAGGTCCTACTGTCCTCGGCTGCCCGCCAACGCGACTCGAGCCTAGTCGCGTTGGACAGCACTTCCTCGTACACCTTGGCCGTGCTCGTCTCCTCCTTGATGAATCCAAACACCTATAGTTCCTCCTTTAGCCGTTGGTCTCGCACACTGCGCACGAACTTTGATAGTACTCTCTCCCGCCGAGCCTCGTCTGAGAGGTTCGGGAATGCAGTGCCAGCCAGCTGTTGTAGACGACTGAGGAAAGCTGGAGTCGTTTCTCTCCCTTCCTGGAACGATTCTTCGAAATCGTTAATGTAGGCCACCCTGGCCTTAGTGTGGCCATACCGTGACTCCAGCAGCTTCATGACTTCCTCATCATCCTTAAGAGCATCTTTGTTCTCGTCCTGGCTCAGCCACAATAGCGGTTCCCCCTGGAGCTGTTGCATAATCATTCGAGCCCGGAACTCCTTATCCTCCGCCCATAGTTTGGCCTCTCCTGACACGTCCTTTAGCTTGTCGTTGAGAGCCTTTGTATTCCTGTATGCAGCGACGAACACTCTCCACTCGCTCAGTGTTGTGGATGCTCCAAACTCGTGCTTGAACTTCGCTGCCATCCTCTTCCTTGCGTTGAATCTAGCCGCTGCCACCAGTGAGACGATGCATATAGTGTAAAGTATGATACTGATTGTGTCAAGTGTCACGTAGGAGGTGTGTATAGCACACCGCTCACACATATGAGCGTGAGTGGGTGGTAGATCACATTGTGTCCCCTTCTACTGTGGTAATTCACAATGAGGCTGCTGGTGGTGAGAAAGTGGTGAATGTTGAACTGCTGAAGCCTGATGTTGGTGCTGAGGTGTTTGCTGATGTGCCTGCTGCAGATGCTGTTGCTGATGTGCCTGCTGCAGATGCTGTTGCTGATGTGCCTGCTGCAGATGCTGTTGCTGATGTGCCTGCTGCAGATGCTGTTGCTGATGTGCCTGCTGCAGATGCTGTTGCTGATGTGCCTCCTGCAGATGCTGTTGCTGATGTGCCTGCTGCAGATGCTGTTGCTGATGTTCCACCTGCAGATGCTGTTGCTGATGTGCCTCCTGCAGATGCTGTTGTTGATGTGCCTGCTGCAGATGCTATTGCTGATGTGCCTGCTGTTATTGATGTGCCAGCTGCGCTTACTGTCCCTGATGCTGGGTCTCGGTCCGATCCCCGAGATCCTAATTATGTGCCGCTTCTAGCCCCTGCCGATGATCCTTCTCCGTATCAGTTTCGCCCATCTGGCCTTCGTCAGCGTGGTTCGCTTGTACCCCCTCAGCGCTTCCGTTAGTTTTGCTTTGTTGCGCTTTTTAGTATTTTGTTTGGCATACCACCAGGGGGAGAGGTGAAGTAGAGTAACCCTCTTCTATACAAGACAGGTATTTCTATGTATGTCAACACTAAAAACAGGCTTATGTGTCATTTGATGGGCCCAAAATTGCGGCTTCTATTCGAGGGCGGCTTCTATTCAAGTGCGCCCTTTAATACAAAACTTTACGGTATTTAAATTTCAGTGTCCATAGAGTTTGGGGTGTTAGTCCCACATGTCTCCGACAAAGCATTCTTGAGATATTTCCGTTTGAAAAATTGAGTTTCGGGTGCGGCACCATGACATCATGCGGCCCCGACAGTCGATACAACCCCTCTGCAACGCCATAGAGTGGAGCTAAGTCAAAAGAAGTGCGTGAAAGCAATAGTGGCAATGCTATTTCAAATGATTTGGCGACCGATAGTAGGTGGTGCAAGCGACCCTGACGACGTAACTCCATGTGAGAGTGAGGATGCAGCCATGGCCGACCGTCATGAGTTCTGCCTGGAGCTGAGAATTTCAGTATTCTGCAGAATAAATGGCCGCGCGGGCCGGTCAAGAGTGAGAACTGCCGCGTTTGCGATTGATGAAGCTTCAGCTATTGCAGATGGGGCTGATATAATTATCAGATCTCTGGAGAGCAGAGTCGTCAAAATGTAGAAGAGTAATGCGAGGGCTCTGATTGGTGTTCAATGCTGACTCGCGTGGACTCCAGCGGCCTGCCGCATAGCGATTTTTGGTGCAAACTAGCACTTGGCGTATTTCAAACGGTTCTCGATTGACGAACAGTGCAGGCTTTTTGAACCACTGGCATGACTTTTCGATTCAAGGCTCACAACATTACAGGATCTGAAAGCTTTAGGACCGGGAACTGTCCATTGTTTTGTCACTTGTCACGGCTGTGGAATAATCGTTGTAGCATAAATGAGGCTGGACTATTCCATGCGGAACACATCAAGATTTGTCGAGCTGAAAATTGCAGGGAACGTAGTGTTTGTAACGCTGAGTCGAATGGTCTTGGTCGGAAGAATCTGCGACAAACGGGTCCCCAATCGAACGCGTTGCGAACCTTTTGTACACATATAGGTGGTGCGGCTTTGTTGCCGAGTACCTCAATGGCAGTCTCCACCATGACCCTGTTGAACCCTACAGTATGGTACAAGGCATTCACAATTGCTTGAAATGTGGCCTTCTGCTGCACTGCTCCTGCAGCTGAGGTGAGCATATTCCTCAGAGATTAAAGCAGACACTCTCCCAATAGCACTTGACAAAAGGCTGAAGAAGACTCGTTCAATTCAGGATATTTATTTTCAAGCGATCCAAGTCTCCAGGTAGCAGGTGATGGTGGCTACCTAGCAACTTGAAGTACGCCGTTACGTCTTTCCTTTCTCACCATGAAGATAATTGTATGGGTTAAGTAAGACATTGGTATCGGGGCAGACATTGGGATCAAGGAAATGATGAAAACACTAGTGCAAGGGCAGGGTTCCCTGCTTCGAGTCCTGGCGATGCCAGTAAGCTCTCTGAAGCTTGGGATAATGATATTGTCATGATTGTTGCGGTTTTCTTTCTTCGTTCTTTGTTTTCATTTTGTCACATGACCAGAATTGCTCTCCAGTGTTGATATTGAGCGACCGGAATCCGTCAAGGTCACAGCTGTCAGAGCAGACCCACCTGTAACCATGCCAACTAAGGAAGAAACAACAGCAGCAGCTGCGTCAGCAGGATTTGCAGTGTATCCATCCAACCCGACTGCAACAAAACCATTGCCACTTGGACAGCAATTAGCACCACTGTCTCCACCAATGAAAAGCAGAACTGCAGCAGCAAGAGGAGGGCCTGGAGGAGGAGAAGCAGTAGTAGTAGCACCACCATCAGTAGCAGCACCAGCAGTAGCAGCAACACCAGCAGTAGCAGCACGAGCAGTAGCAGCAACACCAGCAGTAGCAGCAGCACCAGCAGTAGCAGCACCAGCAGTAGCAGCACCAGCAGTAGCAGCACCAGCAGTAGCAGTAACAGCAGTAGCAGCACCAGCAGTAGCTGCACCAGCAGCACCAGCAGCAGTAGCAGCAGCAGCAACAGCAGCAGTAGCACCAATATCAGCAACAGCATCATGGGCACCTCGAGCAACAGCAAAGCTGGAACCAGGAACAACCGAAACCAAATCAACTATGCCAGCACTTCGTGCTTATTCAGGTGAGTTTTGCCTTGTTGACATTCGAAGGGGTGCCTCGTGATGAGTTAGGTTGGCTATAGCAATAGCTGCTGCATGTCATACTGTACGGATAGTAAGACCGTCTACAGGTCACCCCAGCCATCCGTACAGGTTCCTTCGTCCCGTTTCATCAGCTTTATGGTGAATGAGAAGTAGACTTGAATGATTTCCCAATTAGTATACACTGAGGTGTCATGGCACCAGCCATTCATCATGGCAGCATTCTTAATCAATGGATTTTGATGTATGAGTGTTTGCACGCTCATGCAGATGCATGCACCCTGAAATCACATTTTCCTTTTGTGGATGCGGTTTCTCCTCTTCTTGCCCCGCCCCTCTTTCCGTTCGCTTATATATTCACCCTCCTCCTCATATCCACTGGCGTGGAGCCCCTCATTGTAGAGAGGGGCGGCCCGATTAAACCATCAGCGCAACATCACGTGGTTGAACCCTTCGTTCAGCAAAAACGTACCACAAATGTGACGGGAAAATTCCTATGTCTCATTGATAAACACTTCCCGAAAGGCTCACCACTGAACAAAGTAATTAACAGCACGGCTGTCAAGAAGCGGCAACTTAGGGAGATGGCGTCGGTTCGAGATGGCATGGTAACCGCGCACGAGCCGTGGTCCGTGACTTGCTCATGTATGCACGCAAATGCAAGTCACAAACTCACAAATATCGTCTTTGCATTTGGAGAAAATATCTTCTACTCTTGTTCGAGGCTGGTGAGGTTTGCCTAATCTTTACCTGATTGCGATGCCGGTATGTCCTGTCAATAATTAGAACAAAGAGAGCTGATGATCGCTTCATTCCTGAGCAGAAGTAACAATCAACTCTCCTCAGGTCCTCAGTGCCAAAGGCAGACGACTGCAATTCCACAACGATCATTTCACGATGATGGAAACAATAATCGTGTAGACACTTGGACCATTCGGTCATCCCTATTCTAGCCGCTAGTCTGCCCATCAAGCAGATGTTGACTATTACGATAAAGACAATTGCGTGAACGAGGGCTCACCCAGTAAATACAATTCAAGTCGTGACTCCAGTCAAGAATTAGGGTCTTACTCGAGAACTTCACAAATACAGGCCTAGGCACCCCACAAAACCGATGGATGCCTCGATGGCACGAATGAAAGACAAATAGACTAGACGCAGTGTCCCAAGTGACTGAAAACAGCAGATCTACCAAATAAGACAGCTACAGGTGCCTAAACAACGATTCCAATACAGTAGAGAGTAGTATCAGGCAGAATGAAAGCCTTGGAAGTCCACCTCCTTGAAGGGTGAAAGTTACCAGTTATCCTTTAACGATGTCCGTTTATGCCTGATGGAATCCCCACAGCCCGCACGAAATACCTTTCAAATAATTCCAGGATGCAATTGCAGCTCCAGACAGAAGGAAGAAGAACACCGTGGAAAATAACGGAAACGATGCCCAAAAGGCTCTCAGGAAATGGCTGAAGTCTTCCTGAAGATGTTAACATTGAATAGCCATCGATTACCAGCATGGTTTGGTGACTTTAGAACTGTTTTGAGACTTAGAACGAAGCGATATCTCAAATTTGATGGAATTGTTACCTGTGAAATGCTTGTTTGAGCAGGCCAGCTGACAGGTTATGCATGAGCATGCATTGATTTTGAATGGTTCACGTGCAGAAAACTAAGTTACCGTGATCCAAGTGCAGCTAACAGCCGTGACAGGAACACAGTAAAGGTCAGTTATAGCTGAATGCAAAACGTCGGAAGCATTATCAATGCCAACAACAAAATTAATACATTCTCACAGCAACTACAAATCAGCCGCAACACCCTGCCAAGACTGTAACTAGCGTAGCGCCACACAGTGCCCCCTTGATGGTGGTTGCGTGTAGAGATCAATAGTGTACAAAGCAACAGTAAATGATGACAGTTTGCTTACTTCCTCCGCGTCATTAAAATTGTCGCTTCCCAGAGCGATTTTTCGAATTTATTTTGTCCACTCGAAGGGCAAAGAAATCAGCTAGAAATTGAGGAAGAGCATTGTCGACGGACCAAGCTTTAGTTTGTGGCCCCCCGCTTCGGTGCACTCGCAGCTAAGGTCGACGTCTTCATCAGAGTTTGAGGCAGACCCTTCAGCACTCAACAATACGCTGAACAAGACGCGCGGTCAAATTCAGGTCAAGAAACTTCGTTTTCAAGCGATCCATGCCTCCAGGTGGCAGGCGATGAAGGCAAGCTAGCATTTTTCAAGTACACTATAACGACCTTCCAGCAGGATAGGGTAAGCAGTTTCGCACCTTCTTTCCTTGGCAAGCGCTTCGCTGATTTTGTTGGTGTTTTCAGACCTGCTACCTTCGCATCAACATGCGCCACAAGTAGCGCATTTTAGGAATTTGAGACCGCTTTTTTCTTGCCATCGACAACTTCTGCATTTCGTATTCAGGAGAGATACCAGGATTCTTATACCCGAGCTTGCAGTCTTGGTAAATGCCCACGTGAACGATGTGGGACGGCACGAACTCCAGAAAACGAAATGCGCTCTGAGGCGGAATAGTGCGGAGCGCAATGAATTTGCTTGGTGCGGAAGAGAGCTCCGACAAAGTCCGAGACCATCATGGCTTCAGTGACAAGTAGACATTGCGCAGGAAGGGTCGAACTCAGAAAAAAGCGATTCCGACAGTCTGACTAAGACGAGCCAAGTCTCAAATATTGCAATGTGCGAAGCGACAATTTCAATGACGCTGAAGAAGTACTTGAATTATTTCTTGAGCATGCAGATAGTAGAGCACCTCTCCTAGCACTGAGGACATGTCCGCCATCATCCTTTTTTGGGTTTTGTTGAAATAAACAATTTTGAATTTTGCCACTCCACCATGCTGAAATACGTCCAAACTCATACCTGCGCAGGAAAGCTCGCCCCTCCACGATGTCTAGTCAGCAATTTCTACTCCAACACCACTCCCAACGCTGCAGAACAAAGTGAATTGTTGACTCTGACAAGGAAAAGCAGCGGTGATCACTTGTCACTCCAAACAACAAACTTCTCCTTGCACCACCAACATGTTTTGGTGCAACATTTGATGCAAAAATGACTGGATTTTTGCGTGTAGTTTTTGAATTGCATTGAGTCAACTGATCATGAGCCACGGCTTTACGCCTCACGATGAGTTATGTTGGCTATTGCAATAGCTGCTGCACGTCAGCTAGATGTATGCAGCTAGCTTGCCGTCTCTCTGAAGTCCTTTGGTGAAAAGGAGCGGCTTTCGTTCGGAGGTTATTTTTTGTTTATCAGGTCTGGCCTTCTAGCTAGCAGCAGTCATGTGGAGTGGAGATTGTTTCCACTGTGGAGAGTCAGGACATTTTTCCCGTGACTGCCTATCAGGAGGCGGCAGCTCGCGAGGTCGAGGTGGTAGACGCGGCGTGGCCGAGGAGGTCGTGGTCGTGGGGGTGAGTTAGTGAAGGTCTGTCAGCCTCTATGGAACCAAGACTTCGTGTTTTGTAAGCCAAAGGCTGTGATTGAAAATCCGAGAACAGTGTGCTTGATGTCCGCCAAGCTTGTAACAGTGTTTCTGTTTACGATTGTGACAAGGAGCACTCAGAGGAGAAGACTTGTTATACATGTGGAAAGACGGGGCACGTTGCGAGAGACTGCACACAAGCACCAGAGAGTGAGTCTCGTGGTGGCTTCGGTGGTGGCGGCAGCAGCGGAGGTAGGCCACAGTTCAGTTTGAAGTTGCTGTTGAAAACCAGACTCACTGCCAAATGGCAGTAGTGTAGTACTGTTGGAAGTCAAGGACACACATAGGCAGGTTTTTGTTAATAGAAAACTTCACCCCACCGTCTCAGACTGTCTGGTCTGGAGCCTCATGTCGCTTTTGGCTACTGCAGTGGTGGACATTGAAATCCGTTGAGCAGTCAAGCGGCCACGGAGCGCTGGCCTTGCAGCCGCGAGCAATGCTGGTCCATTCTAGTGTATACGGGAACTACAGTGCGTTAACGCGCCAAGAGCAAGAAGGGTGCTGGCCCGGGTTCCCGGGTTATCCCATCCCAGGGTGCCGGCCCGGGTTCCCGGGTTATCCCATCGGATTTCTACGTCCACTACAGTAGTATATCAAGCGAAATGCAGTTTTGCAGATTCAACTCAGCATGAGCCACTCTGTACAGGGCAAAGATCCCCAGCCTTGAGCCGAATTTCCCAGTCCAGCACTAGTGTGCGTTTGAAAAGTATAGACCTCTGGTTTCAAAAATCCGTTAGCCAGCATCTACACATGTGATCACCTTGTGCATAACACTGTGCATTTGAAACAATTAAATTTCATTTGAGCTTTTTGAGAATTTTCTTCTGGACATTACTCTGGAAGCTCCTCAAATTCAACTCATAGATTTCTCCAGCATTCGAAACAAACCGTCAATTTCGGGCATTTTTATGCACAAAGTGATCACAGATTCTGCGTTGTATAGATGCTGGCCCAACGGTTGTTTGAAACAGGAGGTCTATACTTGATGCACGCTGTAGGTTATGATGCTCATCCCTGTCTTGTGCACAATACAGTACTGTTTATCCCTGTCCATGCCCATTACACACTCAAGGTGAACTTTCTACTGCCCGTGTCGAATATAAAAGCATATTGATATGCTTGAATGGGAAGTAGTGTGTAACGCTACCTTGCAGGGAAATGGACATGCAGCCCTGTCACCCTGGTGTAGATGGACAACACAACAACAATACAAGTCGTGAGGTAGCCATTGCAGGCTTCATCTTCAAGCTCTGCGAGTTCTCTACTGCAAGCATGCACGCATGCGCACACTATACATATGTACATGGTTACATCACTACATCTCCCCTTCAAATAAAAAAAAAGAAGAAGAAGTAGAAATAAAAATAAAGGAACAAAGTGAAGAAGGAAAAGCCAATTAATTGAAGAGAAAAAACAAAAAAGAAGGAAAAAAACCCGATGCGAATGCGCATGCCATGCGCCAGTCATTCAAAACTGCA